GTGTCTCTCTCGCCCACGCCCCCGCCCATTCTCTCACTCACTGTCTGTCTCTATTCAAAGCTCTGTACAATCCATCATTAAATTGTTTATTTGTGAAGCGTTTGTTTTAGTGATCCTATCCACAGAACCCACATCCATTTCGACATTCAATATCTAAATGTTTTGTGAAAAGTGCCGTCAGGGACGAAAAAAAAAAACAAAAACAAACTATGAAAATGAAACTGTATTTTGTATTTTTAAATTACTTGTAACTATATACATATATTTATTTTATATTATGCAAGAACTGCCTACGAATAAATGATTTATTGTATATATATGTATGTATGTGTATACACATATGTATTTCATGTGGTGAATTGTGTTTGTTCATTCGTTCGCTTCTGACTCCACCTGTGCCTGTGCCCGTTAGCTGACTCAGTCGCATTATATTTGTTTATCTGTATGTGTGTGTGCGTATGTATTTATTTTGTGTGCCGTCCAATGAACTTTGCCATCAGCTTTTACGACCAAGTTTGTATTTGCAGCCTTTACCGCATGATAGCCACGTTTCGCTACTCCTGGGCCGAGTGCAAGAAGTGAACCACCGAACCTTGATGTCACCCCACCTATGTTCTTTTAACGAGCTATCCACGAAACATATTTAATTAATTAATTTATAAAATTTGATATGTTAGTCAATTCGCGATACCAATATTAATAAATATATTTATTTTATTGCCACCAAGAGAAATGAGTCATTGTGAGTGTGTGTGTGTGTGTGTCAGCCACATGCAGCTGCGAGGGGCAGTCGTAAAAGCCAACTTCCAATTAATTAACAGGCCCACGGCCCATATTGAGTCGTAATTTTAAAATGTATCAGATTACTCAGGTATACTTAGCGTCATCGCTCACTGAGTTTGAAAATAAATTGCACAACTGTTGGCTGTTTTCAATTATCGTTAACAAAATTACACCTAGATTTTATATTTTTTGCATGTACAAAAGAACATATTTAAATTGCCGCGGTTCTGGCGAAAGTTTTGGTGTATGTGTGCAGTATTTTCTTAAGAACAGTTGGCAGCACTAGCTGTTTAAAGTATTTAAAAAATAAGAAAAGGAACTGAAAACTCAATGCTATAATGAGCTTGAGCACACTGCTTACATAGTAAACATATTGTCAATAAAAAAATTAATTTATTAAGTAAGCATTTTAATTAACTGAACTAATAACATGCATTTAGTTAAAAAAGAAGTATATTTGCAGTTGCCAAATTCGGTCACACCACAAATATCTCACACAACACAGCCACACACATACACCAATACACACGCACACAAATGCGCACTTGACTTCCACAGTTTCTTTATTTTGTGCAGAAAAAAAGTACTTAGTATTGCCGCTAAAGTAACGAAATTTATTGTGTACGCGATTACGAATGCTGCCAAAGTGTAATTTATAATGCCAGCAGCTGCTACAAACAGCAGCTAATTAAATATTTTGTTACGGACTTGGATTTGGAGTTGTTGTCATACCCATCCCCTCCGTTACGATTGTACGTGGCGTTTGCGAAACCGAATCTGAGTCTGAATCGGTCAACAAGCGGTCGAGGTCGTAGGCAAGCGAGTACTAATAGATTTTTATTGTCACGGTGGGCTCAAGCACGGCAGCGGGGCAGACCGATTGTGAGCATGGCGGACGCTGCGGCAAAGCCAGCGGCCGAAAAGGGCGGAGGCGATCCCCAAATGAAGGGCTGGCTGCTCAAGTGGACCAACTACATCAAGGGCTACCAGCGTCGCTGGTTTGTGCTATCCAAGGGTGTGCTGAGCTACTATCGCAACCAATCAGAGATCAATCACACATGCCGCGGTACGATATCGCTCCATGGTGCGCTCATACACACCGTGGATTCGTGCACGTTTGTCATCTCAAACGGCGGCACACAAACCTTCCACATCAAAGCGGCCAATGAGGTCGAGCGGCAGTCGTGGGTGACATCGTTGGAGCTGGCCAAAGTGAAGGCCATACGCGCCATTGAAAGCGAAGAGGAGGAGGCCGAGGAGACGGCGCAGGTGGTGCCCAGTCAGGAGATCAACACTGTGGTGCGCGACCTCACCGAACGCCTGGAGAACATGCGCACATGCTACGATCTGATAACCAAGCACGGCGCAGCACTTCAGCGAGCACTAAACGATCTGGAATCAAATGAGGAGGAATCACTGGCGAGTCGTACAAAGATTGTCAACGAGCGCGCCACACTCTTCAGAATCACATCAAATGCAATGATCAATGCGGGCAATGACTATCTGCGATCGGCTGAATCGCAAGGCCACAAATGGTCCAAGATGTTACACCATGAGCGTGAGCAGCGCCAGCGACTGGAAGAGATCATTGAGCAGATGGCCAAGCAGCAGTCGCAAATGGAGCAGGCTGCCGTGCTGGTGCGCCGCAACAAGCCGCTGCCGTTGGCATCGTCCAGCACAACTATGTCTATAAACTCAGGGCCCCCCGGCACGAATTTAACCTCAGACGACGAGACCGAATTTTTCGATGCCGAGGAATACGGATACGGCCGAACAGGCGAATCGCCAATAGACGGCACGTTCATACTGAAGCTTAACAAACGACGCAGCAGTTCCGAGGATCACGTCGGCTCCGAGGGCCAGACAGGCAGTTCATCGGAAAGCGACGAGCAGAAGCGCACCATTCAAACCGTACAGCAAGTGTGTCTTATCAGCGCAGCACGCGTGGCCTCCGGTGACGACGACGAAGCAGACAAAGTTGAGCGCGTCTCGAACGCCAACCCAGATGAATTACCAAGTAGCAGTGCGAGGGCGAGCGGGGGTAGCAAGCAGCTGGTGCCGGCCAGGAATCGGCGCACGTCTGTGCCGGACAAGCCTAACTATCCGCTAAGCCTCTGGTCAATCATGAAAAACTGCATTGGCAAGGATCTGTCCAAAATACCTATGCCCGTTAATTTCAACGAGCCGCTCTCCTTGCTACAGCGCCTAGTCGAGGATTATGAGTATGCCGAAATCTTGGATCATGCTGCATCGTGCACCGATGAGAGCGAGCAGTTGGCCTATTTGGCGGCCTTTACGGTATCCGCGTATGGGACGACAGCGATTCGCACTGGCAAACCATTTAATCCATTGCTGGGTGAGACATACGAATGTGACCGTAGGGATGATCTAGGCTGGCGCTGCTTGGCTGAACAGGTGTCACATCATCCGCCCGTAGCTGCTTTGCACTGTGAGGGAAAGAATTGGGTATGCTGGCAGGAGTTTTCCATGACGAGCAAGTTTCGCGGCAAATATTTGCAGGTAAGTTTTTCTCATAGTTGACCAAAAAAAAATTACCCATCCGTTTGTTTAGGTTAATCCGCTTGGCGGGGCATACGTTTTGTTCCCTAAAAGTGGTCATCGCTACTCCTGGCACAAAGTGACAACCACTGTAAATAACATAATCGTCGGCAAGCTCTGGGTAGATCAGCACGGAACGATGGAGATAGTGGGCACCAATGCAGCGCATGGAAATAAGTGCATCCTAAACTATATACCCTACTCCTACTTCAGCCGTGATGTACAGCGCAGCGTGAAAGGCGTGGTAGTCAATCGCAATAAGGATGCTAAGTGGGTGGTACGTGGTACCTGGGATGACAAAATCGAAATAGCACCCGTCTTGCACACCAGCGGCACAGCGGAGGGTCCTACCTACACCACTGGCGAGTACAAGGTTGCATGGAAACGTCGCGCGGCTCCACCAGAGTCGGAAAAGTATTACAACTTCACCACATTTGCCTGTCAGCTTAACGAGCCGGAAGAAGGTGTAGCGCCCACAGACTCGCGTCTTCGTCCCGATCAGCGACTTATGGAGGAAGGTTTATGGGAGGAAAGCAACAAGGAGAAAGTGCGCCTTGAAGAGAAACAGCGAACGGCGCGAAGAGAACGTGAAACTGAAGCCGAACAGGCTGCTGCCGAGGGACGACCCTATCCAGCGTACGAGCCCATGTGGTTCAAGCGTGAAAAGGAAGAGGGTAGCGATAATTTTGTGCACGTCTGCAAGAACACATACTGGGAGGCTAAGGCGGCTCAAAACTGGAGCGGCTGTCCAGATATCTACTAATAGCTGAACTCTATGTGAATTATTTCAATACGCAAGCCTCGAAACTTCGCTCTCAATCCCTTAACAAACAAACAAAAAATAATAAAAGAAACAACTCCCCAAGACACTCACAGTCAAGCATAAATAACTTTTACTGAACTATAAACTAATCGATGTAATAACATTTTTTCAACTACTTAGTGCATATATAAATTAATTATTGTAATGTAGCTGCAAATGTTGGAACTGAAATGTTTTTATGGCAAGTTAATCTCAAAATCGCATCGCATTGATTGCGTTTATCAAATTGTATTTTGTTCGGTTTTTTATTTAATCTTTGCTTTAATCAGTTAATTACTTATGGCACATAGACCTTACCATCCAAAAATTAAACATACATATACATACATATATCTAATCTATATACATATGTAGACATGTGCAAGTGAAAAGCGAACCAGCTTTTCACTCTAAAGAATAACAACAGCAACAACAACAACAAGTAGAAGAAGACACACGAAATGAGTTTTCCGGTAGCCGATAATTGTTTTTGCCTTTGTTGTGTATATAAATAAATATATAAAAGAGAATGAAAAAGGTTCTAAACAATGCAACGAGAATATGTTAAATGTTATATATTTATGCAATTTATTATTAAAGTATTATTTTAAATAAAGCAAAAATAATGTGGTTAAACAATGAGCTTACACATACGAGAATACCCGTTCACAAATCCTAACCTACGGTTCAACCATTTCTCAGCTACAAAACAACACCCGTGGCACCACCTTTCTCAGCGTCCGCGATAATGCACTATCTACTGAGTCAGTGTCCAAAACTGAGGCCTTATCTGGCTGACTAGCAAAATGTTTGGCAGATAAGAGCTGAATGTGGTCTCGATGCCAACTGGGGAGTCGTCGTTTGTCAGTTGTATTCAATAATTCGCAAGGGATTGAATATGTCTGGCGAGCGAGCGCAGCACCGACAGCGTCGGAACAGCTCAAACATGAGCACGGACTGCGCCATCGAGACCTCCAGTGGCAACAAACTAAGATCATCCCAAAAGTCACGCAGACGAGGGCGAGCTGCCAGTCATGCTTCAATCGAAGGCAACCCGGAAATGAAGGGCTGGCTGCTAAAGTACACAAATTACGTGAAGGGTTATCAGCGACGCTGGTTTGTGCTCTCCAACGGTGTACTCAGCTACTACCTCGACCAGTCTGAAGTCCATCAAACCTCTCGCGGCTCGATAGCGCTCAAAGCTGCCCTCATTGAAAACGTGGACCCTTGCACCTTTGCCATTTCCGATGGTAGCCAACAAACCTTTCGCATCAAAGCCGTAAGTGAGGTGGAACGTAAAAGATGGATTGCATCATTGGAGCTGGCCAGAACCACGGCCACACAAGCGAATGAAATCGTTAATCCACCTTCAACAGGTGGCTTGAACGAGGCCAGCGAGAAGCAGGTGCAAATCAGGTGTCGGCGCACGCGTGTGCCGGACAAGCCCAACTATCCGCTCAACCTGTGGACACTGATGAAGAACTGCATTGGCAAGGATCTGTCCAAAATACCTATGCCCATCAATTTCAACGAGCCGATATCCATGCTACAGCGCCTAGTCGAGGATTACGAGTACTCGGAAGTGCTGGACACTGCCGCCGCCTGCACTGATGAGTGCGAGCAATTGGCCTATTTGGCGGCCTTTACAGTTTCGGCGTATGCGACGGCAGCGAGTCGCATCAACAAACCCTTTAATCCGTTGCTAGGCGAGACCTATGAATGCGACCGCACGGACGATCTTGGCTGGCGCTGCTTGGCCGAGCAGGTGTCGCATCATCCGCCCGTAGCCGCACTGCACTGCGAGAGCAAGGAGTGGGTTAGTTGGCAAGAGTTCTCCCTGACGAGTAAGTTCCGTGGGAAGTATTTGCAGGTAAGTTTTTCCCATACGTAGCTGATTCATTTTCGTTACTCACCTTCCATTTTGGCTTGAGCAGGTAAATCCGGTTGGCGGCGCCTACGTTTCGTTCCCCAGCACCGGACGTCGCTATTGCTGGCGTCGTGTGACAACTACTGTGAACAACATTATCGTCGGAAAGCTCTGGGTGGATCTGCACGGAGAAATGGAAATCATTGGCAGTGGTGCGGCGCATGGATACAAGTGCATCCTAAACTATATACCATACTCATACTTCGGCCGTGAGGTGCAGCGCAGCATCAAAGGCGTTGTACTCAATCGCAATAAGGAGGCCAAATGGTTGCTGCGTGGCACCTGGGACGACAAAATCGAAATAGCACCCGTTTTGCACACCAGTGGCACACATAAGAGCCCCAGCTATACCACTGGCGAGTACAAGGTTGCCTGGCAGCGTCGGCCAGCTGCACCAGAATCGGAAAAGTTTTACAACTTTCCCACGTTTGCCTGTCAGCTTAACGAGCCGGAGGAAGGTGTCGCGCCCACGGACTCGCGCCTGCGACCCGATCAGCGTTGCATGGAGGAAGGCGCCTGGGACAAAAGCAATCAGGAGAAATTGCGGCTCGAGGAAAAGCAGCGAGCGGCGCGAAAACAGCGGGAGGAGAAGGAAAAACAGGCGGCAGCGGAAGGACGATCTTATCCAGCATATGAGCCCATGTGGTTCAAGCGCGAGAGAGAGGAGGGTAGCAAAGAATTTTTGCACATCTCCAAGAATACATATTGGAAGGCCAAGGCAGCCCAAGACTGGAGCGGTTGTCCGAATATTTTTTAACAGCTGCGTGATATACTTTTACAAAAAAACAACAATGGGACGGAAAATGCGCAATCAACCCACAATATCTAATCTTCAGACAAAGAACTCGTTGAGTTCCGCCAAAAAAAGACCTGAGCAATCCAAAGAGAAATGTTATAAAGTTTACGCAATTTATTGGTAAAGTATTATTTAAATAAAGCAAACTGTTGAGTTGTGGTTGAAACAATCGTAAAGAGTCATCCATGTACATTCAGTAACACCTGCGGTATCGCCTTCCTCAATGTGCACGATAAGGCGTCGTCTGTTGACTCGGTAATCAGTTAATCCAACGCGACCAATTCGGCACCTCGATTTATTAATGCCAACCATTATCTACACTAACTACTTACTAATGGTTAAAAATAGATAACGGTGAATGCTGGTCACGATGGCAGCCGCAAGGGTGACGCTTTAATTGTGTTCGGTGGTTTGGGAAGTTATGAATATGTCCAATGATTTAAGTAGCGCCTCCACTGACGGATCACGGCCTTGGAAGCGACGGAATACTTCCGCCGTGGGCACAGAGCCGCCATAACTGAGGAAAGTTTGCTTATAGCGTTTACCCACTGTGGCGTAGTGTTCGTCGTTGCGCTGCTCCGCAAATCCGCTCGAGATGTCGGCGGCAATTAGCTTGGAATACAAATGACTAAAATGTGCCGCCGCCCAGTCGCCAGCAAAAATGTCGGTCATGGAGCAGGGATGTGCGTCTTTCTTGTCGAGTGGCATACAGTGATACACTGGCCAGATTTTGCGTACAATTTCCAGCCAAAAGGCGCCAGAGCGATGCAATTCGACGTCCAGATCGGCCAAATACAATTCCTGGCACAGATTATACCCTGACAGCTGCGTTTTCAGCAGGCGCGTCTTTTGGGCAAGCTCAGCATCAATGATCTGATCGTTGGCGTAATGACCGGACAAAGTCTGCAGCACTGCGGCGTCGTCTAGGAAGTTGCTCATCACATAACCCGACACTTGCGAGGCATCCCACTCAATGTTGGATAGACCCGCCAGTTCGCTGTAGCCCGCTTGCGTCAGCAGATGCTGCAGCGCCGTGCCAAAGGTCTTGAATACCATTTGCAAATCGTCGAAGCCCAACAGCGTGGGCTTGCCCTGCGTCGGCTCTGTAAAGTTAAAGATGAGTGCGCAGAGTGGGGTGAGGCCGGCTGTTTTGTTGCTATTGCGTATGCCCACCATCCAGCCATTGTTACGGCCAAATTTATGCTCCTTGGAATAGCAATCCACATAGAAGCCGCCAACGGGCGTTGAACTGTTGCTGGCATCGCCATCGTACACATTAAAGAACTTGACAGCCGGATGCCACACCTCCGTCTTGGGCTGCTCCGAAATGCGTATATTGAAGAGCTTTTCGCTTAATGCAAAAAGACCGGAGAGCACGCGTGGCAGGGGGAAGTACTCTCGCAGCTTGTCCTCCACCAGCTGATGCTCGGCGACAAGCTGTTTGCGCGCCCAATAGCTAATATCGTATGCCTCCAGTTTGTGTTCAGCACCATTTAAGCTGGCAAACTTTTGCAACGCCTCAAGTTCTACACTCTGAGCGGGTCCCGCGAATTTCAGCAACTTGGCAAAGACTTGCTTCAGGTTTTCTACACTGCCAATCATTTTAGTTTGCATGGACATGTCTGCGTAGTTGGTATAGCCCAACAGATTAGCCTGGCGCTTGCGTAAGGCGCGTATCTTCTCCAGATGCGTGCTGTTCTCTAGTGCTTTATCCTGTTGCTGAGATGCTTTTAGAGCATTGGCGCGCCACACATTCCAGCGCTGCAGACGATCGGGACAGTATTTGAGAAAGCCCTCAACAATTGGCGGCTGAAGCGTTATTTTCCATGGACCTTCGAGTGGTTGACTGGGATCCCGGGCCGTGGCCTCCAGCAGCGTTGGCGGAAAGTCGCGAACCAGCTGGAAATCATTGACCACATGCGCAAATGCGTGCACAGCCATGTTAACTTTATTTTTGAAGTTACCACGCTCACGGCCCAACTGCGTTAGCAATTCCTTGAGCCCATCTTGACCGTCCTTGCTCAGCGATAGGCCATTTAATTTGCCCTCAAGTAAAAACTTTTGGCGCAAACGTTGCTCAGCTTCACCTGCTTGATCTTCTTGCTCCAGCAGAGCCGTGTACACTGTTTTGTTGCAGAATTTGGCAGCACGTGCATTGCGCGCTCGTTCGTGTATATTCATATAAGACTTGGTAGGTATCAGCGTGCTGTTGCCCAGGTAGAGCGCTTTGGCCACACCCCAGGTCGTCTCCAATGGCGCAGTAACTGCATCCAGTTCTCTGTATATATCGGCACCTTTGAGCTGCTTGCCACTTTTGATATCCTGCTCAAGCAATTTGACTGACTTCTCCACGGCCGACGCCTGCTGGCCAATGGCGCCCAGACACATCTCGATGGTGATATCGCTGAATGCCGGCAGCCCATTTGGCATAAGTAGTCCCTCGCCCATTTGACCATCTTCGCCGATTTCGGGCACGCTGCAAGCGGCAAAATGTATTAATTGTACTTGGTCCGCAGCCCGAATCCCAACACTTACAGCACAATATAGCCCGGCCGGCAGGGAGTAGAGTGTAAGCAACGTTGCGCGGCATTCGCAAGCGCCGCATGGCGCTGTCGCAATATGTTCAACATGTCTTAAATACGAATTTAAAACTAATTATTATTTACAATTAGAAAAATGCGTGCGGCCAAATTTTTCGGCAGCCAGCGTTTACACAACACTCTCAGCTGTTCTGCTTCCTTACTACTCTAAAAGCCGATATATGCTATCGCCCCTATTGAGTTTATATATCGTAGCTGTGAAAAGTTTAATTTTAATGTAATTTACCCTTTGTCTGTTTTAGTTTTACATCAATCAAATTGCAAATTAAAATATATTTTTATAGCTGGACTCAAGTCTAAAAAAAAGTGAATTTAAAATCGATAACACACCAATCACAGCTTAAGTATCGATAATAAAAGTATCGAATATCAAAGCTTGGCGCCAAAAAAAACCTTTTAAAGTTTCAGTAGCGCTTGTAAGCTACTGTTGTGCGTTTATGTACATACAAGGTAAATTCATAGTAAGTATGGTAGTAATTAGTAGCTAAGTATAAAATAAATGTAAAATGTAAAATCGAGTAGTAGATTAAAAGAGATGTAAAGATAATTGAGGATAAGCATAACTTAAACTAACATCCCAAGCCTTTGTATTGACAGCCATTGTGGGTCAAAGGCATGCCATTAAGATTGCTAACAATCTCTTTATTTTCCTCCTGTTCATCTTGCAATGTCGTGGCATTAAACTTCAATTTGACGGCATAGCCAAAATACCGTTCAAATCCGTTGATGGGCTGCGTGCTGATGGTGACCAAATGTCGGAATTTATAGTGCACCCAATTTCGGTAGTTTATCACTGACTGAGGCACTTTTACAATGCTGGCCAATATGGATCCACTAATTTTGGAGGAGTCCAAGTCCACTAGCTTCGACAGCTTCAGAAAGGCCATTTCAAAGCCTTGCTTCACATCAAGTGCTCCAAACGAACTGCGTCCTATGTCATTTGTCGGCGTGATGGGATCTTCAATCGTCAGCACCGACAACCAGTTGTAATCGCCGAAGGTGCTCTGCAGCACACACTTCTCCACGCTGCCACCACTGCCTCGCACAGATATTCCATACTTAAAGTAGTCAAACTTGCGTCCATAAAAGTCCAGGAACTTAAGTAGTAGCTTTCCCAATTTGTTATCATTTTTACAGGTCTTCGTTTCGCTTAGAGACTGCTGCTGCAGGAAGCTGATGCACATGAGGGTGACGGCATATGAGGAAATACCGCCTGAGCTGTATACCTCATTTAAGCCTTGCAGCATTAGATATTGCTTTAGAATTATGACCAGCTTGGGTAGCTCTGGAAACTGCTCGATAAACCGCTGAACCAGCTCCGCCGCCTTCACGCCCGTCGTCGTATTAAATGAAATGTCAAACTTGATTTCCGAAATGCGTTCCGTAAACTTTACGACCGGAACTGAGGCCTTGTCCAGGACATTCACATTGTCGGCAACGCCTCGCGCCATCAGCGCATTTTTCAGTTCGAGCAACGGTGCGCCGTGCCAGTAAAAGTTATTAACTGCAATATCAATATCAGAGATCGGCAGATTTAGGCCGGTGCGAAAGGACCCAAAGACTTCAATGCAGGCCTCCGGCCAAATGCTGAGGACAACCCTCTCGATACGGTGCACTGCTTCCATTCGCATCATATATTCCGTTGGCGTCGATACGATGTAGTTGTAAAAATGCTCGATCTCCTGATGGAGTGCGGCTACCCCGCTGCCATATTCAAAGTTCGGCATCAGCCAGGGCTCCCGCTGATCTGTGACTTTGCTCATCTTGCTGCCTCCTTAAATGTTATAAATTTAAATAAAGTTAAGAGTCGTAAATCCACTCTCGTATTATATTTTTGATAACAATTCCAATTAAAACTTACGCTATGGCAATGTAAGTACGTCGATTCGCAATTCCAATTCGTAATTTGTTTTTTTTTTTTTCAATTTCTCTTCAAACCGAATAGCAAGAACAAGACAAATGCCAAAGCCAGCGCCGTTATACAGAGTTGCCACCCAGTTCATTTCGTGCCGAAAAATTCACTGGCGTGTGCTCTTCAAACTCGCTTATCGCGAACAATGTTAGGACATGATGTAATTGAACCAAACAAACTTAACCATAAAAACTGAACTCTGATAAGAATTGTTACTTTTTTGGGTTTTTTGAAAAATATTTATGCTAGAAACATTATTAATATACTGCAAAGGCATGTTGTTTACAAACTTTTTTAATTATTACAGGATGACTGAGTAAAAAATTAATTTACAGCAATATGCACAACCAGAACTCAAAACAATACACATATTGGAGACTATAGTAACTGACCCATAAGATCAACAAATTGAACTAAGTATGTGGACTATATTAACTAAAAAAAATTTCTAAATATGCGCACCACAGCCTGCACCCATCGAGGCACACTTCTCTGGACAATCTCACGCTCCGCTGTCGTGGACATGTCGTATAAGCGATCCGCCTCATTTTGAAGGCGTTGGCTGAGGTCTTTGTTAGCGGTCACCAGGCAAACTTGCGTCTCCAGGTCACGATTGACCGAGCGCTCGCCAAAGTTTGAGGAACCGATTAGCGTCAAATTGGGCAGTCGAGCCTCGGGCAAATAATACCAGAGTCCCTTCGCATGGTACGTCCAGCCAGGTTTCTCGTACTCAAAGAAATTGACTCGATGATTTTGCTTTCGTCGCACCAAACTCTCATAGAAGCTTTTCGCAATCAGTGTATAGGCAGCAGGTATGCCTCCGGCGGGTCCTTTGGCACCTTGGAAACCATTGGCCTACAAGGAAGCAAGAAGAAAATGTCACGTAAAGTAAAAAAACCGAGATGACACCACCTACATTTGGATGAGCCATGAGAATGCTACACTGCGCCAGACATTTATGCGTGATGGTGTCCATGTACTCCTGCGTGAGATTGAAGTAGCCGGTGGCCAGTTTGAGGCGTGAACCAGCAATGCATTTAGAGAGCAACTGCTTAGTCACCACGCTGTCATGGTGTATGCCAATCTGGCCCATCTCCAGCAGAGGAAACACCCACGTGTCCGCTTGTGTGTTCTGATCCCTGAGCTGCAATTGCTTTTGGTACGCTTCCTGAACGAAATTTGTAATACGCTCCTTGGCCAGACGAATGAACTGATCTTTTGTGCCTTCGTATGGCAGTATGCGCCAGCTATGATGCAGTCCCTCTACCGCATCTGCGCCGACAGCCAGGCTGAACTCCTGCACACGCTCAATGAACTGCGCATAGAAATCTGCAAGCGGTTTGTCCTCAATAAGTATGTAACGATCCTGACGATTTGTAAAGTAGTCGTTGGACAAATTAGCCCCAGATATGATCACTGCATCGTCAAACAAGTACACCTTCATGTGCTGTAGTCCCAGTAGTTCGTTCCAGCGCGGCGGCGCCAGTCGTTTGGTCATGCCGCGCAAATCCGGCGTATGGTACAGCGAGAATTGCACCTGTTCGCCAAATTCGCGCACCAGAGGTAGGAGCATGGTCTTGGAGTTCGCCGCACCACGTGTGCCGCGTGTAAAGTCCAATAGCACATTTAGGCGCAATGAAGACTCCGCCTGCAGGCTATGACGCAACGTCTGCACAAAGGAGCTCTCCAGCTGACCTGTGCCCAGATACAGGCTGGCCAGCACAATGCGTCGCTTGGCCTGAGCGATGCGCTGTATCAGCGTTTGATAGAAGTGTTGAGGCTCGTGTATGACCTGTATCTGATCGCCTCGAAGAGGAAAGCATGGCGCCAGATTGTGTAACCAGGATAGACTCTCCAAACCGGGCGAGCCTGCAAATCCGCCACACAATAACTGTTGCGGTGCATGCTGAAGGCAGCCCAACAGGTCGCTCTGGGTGGCAGGACATAGTTCTTGGGTGAATAGGCGGCGCAGGTACATCATTTTCGTTGAGGGCCTTCTAAATATTGGACTCCTCTACTCCTCTACTCTGGCCGTGCCAGCTCCTGTTGCAGTGTTCGACCTAGCTGTGATGCTAGTTTCATTCATTGGTTGGATTGAGTATTAAAATAAACTGAACTCGTTTTACGAAATCATATCAAAATTACGTTTACGTGCTGTTGCGGTGCTGGGAAATTGAGATATATCGATAAATTATTTCTTATCGACTTACACACAGATGTCCGATTGGATTTGTAAAACCCATGGTATTTTAATTTTCGAACGGGCTGATCGCACTAAAGAACGCTGTTTTAGTATAATTTATATTGTATATAATCGAGTATAATACAATCAAATGTAAAGTACGTATAAAAATCCTGTTATGTGAACAGCGTAGTTGTTTTAAATATCGATGCTCAACGCTTAAAAAATTAACATATCGATATATCTGTCGGACACCACTAGCACAGCCAGCGCAGCGCAACAACAACAAGCAAGGAGAGAAGAAGAATCAAGCAAAAGAAAAGCCAACGAAATCAACTGCGAAAATTTTGGACCTTCTTCCTACACACAGAACTTACATTGTCCAAATGCTTTTAAATGTGAACGCAAGGGATTAAAAACGGCAAATAGTTGATGTGTGTGTGTGTGTATGTGTGTGTAGAAAATCAAAGCAAGTTTCAGTACCCCAATAGTGCAACGCAACCAGGTACGAGTGCGTGCAGCAGCAGCAGCAGCAGCAACAACAACAAAGAGAGCGAGAGCCGACCCGAGCCGTAACTCACTTTGCTTTGGGATTTTCATTTGCTGCCTTTTCTTGCTTTTATTTTTGCTTGAACATTTTGTAGACGCAACGAAATTTGAAGTCAGGTGGCGTGACCTTTCATAACAGCTAACATGTCTTGGACAGAGAAAGTAGATCCGGAGTTGATCTTCACAAAGCAGGAGCGTATTGGCAAGGGCTCCTTTGGTGAGGTCTTCAAAGGCATTGACAATCGCACGCAGCAAGTAGTGGCCATCAAAATCATTGATCTGGAGGAAGCCGAGGATGAGATCGATGATATACAGCAGGAGATCATGGTGCTATCACAGTGTGATTCGCCGTATGTGACTAAATACTATGGATCCTATCTGAAGGGCACTAAGCTTTGGATCATTATGGAGTACTTGGGGGGTGGCTCCGCATTGGACTTGATGAAAGCGGGCTCCTTTGAGGAAATGCACATTGGCATTATATTGCGCGAGGTGCTCAAGGGTCTCGACTATTTGCACTCAGAACGCAAGCTCCATCGCGACATCAAGGCGGCCAATGTACTGCTCAGCGAACTGGGAGACGTAAAACTAGCCGATTTTGGAGTAGCTGGCCAGCTAACCAACACGACATCCAAGCGCAACACATTCGTGGGCACACCCTTTTGGATGGCGCCGGAGGTTATCAAGCAATCCCAGTATGATTCCAAGGCGGACATCTGGTCGCTGGGCATCACGGCCATTGAGCTTGCCAAAGGCGAGCCGCCCAACTCGGAGCTGCATCCAATGCGCGTGCTCTTTCTAATACCGAAAAACAATCCGCCCCAATTGACAGGTAACTATACCAAGTCATTTAAGGACTTTGTCGAGGCATGCCTAAATAAGGATCCCGAGAATCGACCCACGGCCAAGGAGTTGCTTAAGTATCCGTTTATCAAGAAGGCCAAAAAGAATGCCTACCTGATTGACTTAATCGATCGCTTCAAGAAATGGAAACTTTCCAAGGGCGATGAGAGCGAAACCGAATCGGAGAACTCGGATTCCGACTCGGACGCCAAGCAGAGCGGTGGCGGCGGTAGCAGCCACGACGAGCCCTGGATAATGACCGTCAAGGGTTTGCACATCAATAGCGCACCGCGTGCTGGTGTTAACAGCTTCCAGCTGCAGGAGCACGAGTTGACCATGCAGAAACTCATGGCCACCACACACTCGCCCTCGGGCAACTCCAGCGGCAGCAACCAAACCGCTTCGGGCAGCAACAGTAGCAACAGTATTGGAGGCGTCGTCAAAGCCGCGAATGCAGCTGGCGTGGGTAATGCAACTGCAGCGACGGTGGCGTCTGCTGCCAGCGACACACCAGCGTCGGTTAACAGCAACAGCAACAACAATAACAATAACAACAACAGCAACAACAACAACTTGAACAGCAAACATGCCACAACTACCATGCTAAATGCGCCATTGAGTGGAGGAGGAGTGGCATCAGCTAGCAATGCGTCATCCGGCGCTGGGAGGATGTTGCCTGTCAGCACATCTAACTCGGCCAATGACATTGTGCAGAAACGTGCCAGCTCTAAAACAGAGCTCCGTCAGTCGCGCTCTGTGGCCACATTGGATCAGGTGGAGGAGCGTCGCGCGTCTTTGGGCCTACCCCTAAGCATGGACCAGCATCAACAGCAGCAACAGCGTCGTAGCAACAATCGTGAATCATTCCATGCGATAAGCGCTAACAATGTGAGCAACTGCAGCAGCAGCAGCAACGCTGCCGAACACAACGATTCCTTGGCTTCCAATCAATCCAATCACGGCAAGCTGGCAACCAGTCAGGGACAGCGAATGCTGCATCACACGAACAGCGCTTGCCTGAACAACTTGCTCTTCCCAGTGCTGAGCGACATACAGCGCAAGTACAGCAACAGCAGCAAGAATTTGCAGAGCATGCACGGCGTGGGCGTGGGCAGTGACATTGGCGATCTGAAGTCCGTGTTTGAGCTGGCCGAGCGTTCCAGTCCGGGCGTTAGCGATCTGTTCATGAAGGAGCTAATCCATATGTTGATGCCCGGCTATTCGGAGACGCGCATCAATAACATTATGGATCGCGCCATACGTAACCGCAAATAGGCCGTGAAACGGTTAACCAAATTCCAAAACAAAACTTACATAAACATATATATATATATTCTATATACATACTATACGTGTTAAATAAATCCCGAAAAACAACAAAAAACATCAGCAACAGCCGCAGCAGCAGCAACGGCAACCAACATATTCCGACATAGTGGCCAATGGAGCTAGCAGCGTTAGACTTATGAAAAACGAAAGTTTATATATACTTATGTAGTTGTACATGTACGTATTTCAACTGAGCCATGTGGCAAATGTTTATTCAACAGTTATTTAGGCATACAAGATGTATTCGTTTGTTTATCTGCAATATTAATATTATTAATATAATGTAAAACATATGCAACTTTAAAATAAAACAAAATGCAAAATGTGATCGGAATTTAATTTAGCGCCCGTCGCAGCTATACATTGTGGCGGTTGGTCGATAACACTGTAATTGTAATCACTAGCCACGCAATGCTTTGTATGGTTAGTGGTGTTATCGTATTCAATTAAACTGCAATAGTAGCAAAATTAAAAGGTCTTCCGTTAATAAATTATTGAGTAAATTGTGAACATATTATGTAAATTATAAACAAAAATGAAAATGTTGCTTGTAGTCGAAATTAAATTTACCGCCCATATGGTGGTGGTCGATAAGACAATTAAGTATGACAGTTTTTTGTGCAATTGATCTGGCATCTCTCCTCGAAAAAGAAGCTAGAGTGCAAACAATTAAAAAAAAATAAGCCTGTACATGGAATTAGATTTATTTCAAAAATGTCGCAAATTTTAGTAGATGAGGAAACATTAGAAACGCTAACCTATGAGCGTTCGAAAATTTGGTCCAACTTTCTTAAGGTGAGCTCAAATATACATATATCTAATACCTGATCGTCGCCTTAGCATTGAGACTCGTTTTTTTTATTTTTTTAGAGTTGTGAGGAACACGAAGACAGCGAAGAAATTGATATCAGTCAAATCGAGGATCTATATAAAAATCAGGACGAGGAAAGTATAGGCGTTATTGAAGAGGCGGAAGAAGACGATGTGGCGAACGATATAAACAATACAACGGCCTGTATGAGCAAGGCCGAACTTACTCTGATGCTTTGCAGCGGTGATAACAAAGAGATTCTAAATCAAACGCTGCCCATTGTTGAGGAGCATGTGCGCAAATGGAAGGCGGCTGGCTTGGATCGCATACTGAACACTTTTGATGCGCAGAAGATCGAGCAGCATGTGGGCGACTGGTTGCGTCGCCACAACAGTGCCTACGGCGATAAGACATTGCTGCAAATGTCTCCAGCAAAGACGTGCCACAAACGCTACAAAAATCATATCTACTCGCCGGATGTGAGCAATGAAAGCGAAAATGAATCGATGCACTCTGTGGACACAGCCCGCTACATACGCGCCAGTCGCAAGCGCACCGTGTCCACTGCCACCAAATGCAGCAGTCCCATGACAACAATCAAAATGTATCGCACGGTGCCACGCAAGCGCGACGAGTTGCGTGCCAAGTACGGCTGTGATGAGTACAATGAGGAGCAGGAGCATCGTCATCACATGCAGGCACTTCGTCATCGTCGGGACCAGATGCATAGGCGCAATCGTGAGCGCGAACTGATTTACCATACGAGTCCAAGGCATTATCCGTATAGTGTGGCTGCCAGCTTTCATGGCCAGCAGCGCCGCAAGCAGCTGCGCAAGCGACGCGACAGCTCTCCACTTTTTCCATCATCATCCTCCAGCGAAGATGAGCGTGGGCATACCCGCTGCGACTGCAGTGCATGCGTGAGGCGGGCCTTTTCCAAAACGACCCACCCATATTGTGCCTATCGCAGCTATCACAGTCACAGCCACAGCCTGTATCATCATCAGCGACTTGAATTGGGCTCGCGCAGCATATTCAAGCGCAGCGTGCATCAGTTACGGCGTCAACATGCCTTTGAAGAGGACTTGCGGCCGCGTTTGTTGGAGAGCGATTGTAACTGTTGCAACAAAGATCGACTCTGCTCAAATGTGGTGCACATTGCCAATAGCTCAACAGAAGAATGGCTGGTGGAGAATAAAAGCAGTCCCGACCCAGTGCAGCCGAGCACACCCAGATGCCGAACGCAGGCCTCGACAAGTCGTTCCAAGACATTAAAGCAAACGCCGCAGCCAAAAGTACAAGCGAAGAATAACCAGATTTGTTTAATTGACGAAGAATCGGAAGAAGACACAGAGGAGGAAAAGTTGATGAAAAAGACAGCCCCCAAATTGCAGCAACTGCCCGAAGCAGAGCCTAAGAAAAAAGCATCAGTTAAATTCTTAAATTTGGAAGAGGCAGCCCCCATACCAACTCCCAAAGCTGCATCTGTGAAATCCACCTCTGTGCCAATGCCAAAGCTTGAACCGAACAAAAAAGAGCTGACAAGCACAACTAGTTTGTCGGAGATGAGCAAAGAATCCATTAAAACTGACAGCAGTGTCGATAAGGAACCATTTGCTAAACCTGACAAGTCCAAAGCGTCTAGCCACAAAAAGCAGCCACCTAAATCTGCAAAAAAAGTGACTGCAGCTGAAAACAATGCCAAGAGTAAAGCGAAACGCACGGACAACACTTCCGGAGAAAAAATTGAAAGCACCACAAAGTCAAAGCTTAAGAAAACCAAGCAAGTGTCAAATGAAACAAATGATCCCGAATTAGATCTCAAGCGTGCGCTAGCGCTTTCGAAGCAAACATATTTGGAGGAGTGCAAAAAACTGAGGCAACAAGCGGAGCCAAAAGAAGAAGTTGAAGCCGCAGCATCGCCACAGCTGCCGGAGCAATCGAGCTTTAACAACCAAAGCGTGGCATGCAACTCGACGGCTATGTCCAATGATACGGCTTGCGCACGTGTCCTGAAAAAATCGGCCAAGAAGCCAATTAAACATGCAGCCAGCACATCACAAGCGGTGGTTGATCTTTGTACCTCCGATTTCGCTTCTGCATTTGACACTTGCCGGAACCAGACAGATGGTGATGCCGACTGTACTGTGGTAACATCTACAACTAACTGCGAGCCACCTGCAACCGTCACCAAGACAGCAGCTGTGGTCCCACGTCCAAATATTAAGTTAACAAAAAAAGGAATTTTACTGTATGCGCCGGCCGATCGGGCGCAGAGCTGCAGCTCAAGCAACTTTACGCTCACCGAGCACAGCCTCAGCCCCATCATTGGACAACGAAAAGCGAGCAAGTTTCTTAAGTATCACGTGGGCAGCCGCAGCTTTGACAGTCGCTACTCGATTTATTATCGTCCCACGGCGAAGATGACGGCTATGTTGTGCTCCGATGCCAAGTCTGTGGATTATGAGTCTTCCAGTTCCAGTAGCAGCGATGACGACATCTTTGATCGTGTTCAGCGTTACGGAGAGGTCTACTCTGTGCTGGAGTAAAGCAACGAAGGCGATTGATTCGCCCAATTGTTGGTCAATTGCTATAAGCAAAACATTGTGTATACTTTCTTAATATATGTCATATTTAATGTTAATCAGCTTGTCTTTATCTTTAATTATATTATAATATTTGACGAAGTTTGTTATATTAAATATTCATTAAAATTTCGCCGCTATTAACAACAAAAATATTACTAACATTCATGTTCAGATTTTTGCATTAAAAATAACGTATCTTTAAATGTTTACTTATAAGAATATACTGAACTCTTTGCAATGTCCGAATGATTTAAAAAATATTTTCATTTATACAAACCTTAGTAATAAAAGGCAAAACACAAAGCAATGTTTATTTTTACATTGAAGAAAACGCAACAACATTGTATTGAAAATCGGTGCACTTAACAATTTATTCAGTTCAGGATGTCCGAAGAGGCCATACTTATAAGTTTTTATCCAATTTGGCTGCAAGTGCCCGGCTAGCTCAGTCGGTAGAGCATGAGACTCTTAATCTCAGGGTCGTGGGTTCGAGCCCCACGTTGGGCGAAAGTTCACTTTTTGTACTATTTTATTATTTAAATAATATATTCTGTCAACAGCTTCTGTTAAAATTACTTAGGTAAAAAAATAATTTAAAAAATTTTATTTGGCAACTAGGTAGCCAAGGTTCTACCGAGATTTGAACTCGGATCGCTGGATTCAAAGTCCAGAGTGCTAACCATTACACCATAGAACCGTGGTGACGGTGTAGAGCCTAGTATAATAAATTCCTGATCACAATTTTGTTAAAATATTAAGAAGGTAAAAATTGTTTGGAAATGTTTAGATTATGTACTTAAATAATTTTACTTTCAATTTTTAAAATTCAAAACAAAAATATTTTTAGAGTGAAAATAACAATCAAAAAAGAAAATTAAACAGGTTCTACCGAGATTTGAACTCGGATCGCTGGATTCAAAGTCCAGAGTGCTAACCATTACACCATAGAACCAGGTTGAAAATCGACTGCTAAAACCTAATTTTGTTGTTATGGCCAATGTTACAGTATTGTAAAATGTCTTTTGGTTAACATTTTATTTGGTACTTATAAATGACATCTGATATTTTTAGTATTTTTTATTGAGGCAAATTTAAATATTAAATGTAACTGAAAATACGAAAGCAAATACGTTTCATATCGATACGCCGTTGTCAAGCAACATACAAATTTTTGTTTAGTCAATAATAGCAGAGAAGCATACATCAAAACAATTTTAAATAGTTAACTAAAATTTATTATTTTCATAGAGTGCAAATTGATAATTCAAAGAGATGGAGAAGAGTAAAACGCTGTTGGAGAAATATCAAATACCAATAAATCATCTGGATTTTGCGTACGTGGAAAAATGCCAAAATGCACGCGAAATGGAAAAGATTGTAATGATTTTACGTTCCGGTGAAGAAGGTTATTTTCCTGACTTGACACGCTGTGCCGAGGAGAAATTAAAGCAGCTGAAGCCAGACAGTAAATTGTTTCGCATCGAGGAGCAAATACGTTCCAGTAATATGCTGGACAAACAGGAACTCAAGCCCATATATGTAAATATCTCAGATGAGATTCCATGTGAAATGTAGCTAATTTGTGCAATAATGATAATGTTATCCAGGACTGGACAAATGACATCAAGAACAAGGACAGCGCGTTGAATGAGCTCAAGGAGGAATCGGCTGAATTGGCAACGGATCTGCCACCCGTGCGAAAGCCATGCAAAATAGAAATTGACAAGGAGGAGAGTGAGACCCAAAATTCTGGACCAGTGCCTAAGCCGAACGCAAAGCCACAGTTGAAATCAACAAATGAAGAGCGCATCAAATCTACGGATTACAATAAATGGGACAAGTACGATCCAGATGAGGAAATCTTGCGCATGGATTTGGAAGAGGAACGTTCGAAAGAGCATGCAAAAATAAAATTACGAAAAACTGAGACAACAACAAAAGAGGAGCACATTAAAATTTGTGAAAAAGGCGCCGACGAGCAGCGCCTGCAGGCTCAGCTCAAGAAACTAAGTCAAATCGAGCGCGAGCAATATGCCGAGAAGTGAGTAGAGTCCAGTTCTTTATATAGATGTACTGGTATATACATTTAATGCGGTACAGATATCGTCTGCGGGGCAACGAGTACTTTAAGGCCAAGGAGTATGACAATGCCATTGAGGAGTATACACTAGCTATAGTTTACGATCCGGCACGAGCTGCACGCGCCTACAACAATCGCGCCGTATCGTGTGAGTAGTCACGTACCTATACCTATATATATATATATATATACCTAATCATCTGATTTATCGACAGACTTAAAGAAGAAAAACTATTTGCCAGCTATAGATGATTGCGAAGCCTGCCTCCGGCTCGAGCCCGACAATGTGAAGGCACTTCTACGTTTGGCCGATGCCAACTATGGCCAGGGACGTCGTCGCGAGGTTTGTAGCAATTTCAATGCATACATGATATATCCTGACTTATCTTCTGTCAGTCCTATGGCTTTTATCAACGCGTACTTGCTCTGGAGCCCAATAATATAAGTGCTAAAAAGGCGCTTGACGAATTGCGTCAACAGTTGGGCGAACTGGCTCCTGCACATGCTACACGTATGATCATTGAGGAACTGCAATCGGAGAAAGCCGCAGCTGACAATAAGCCCAAGACACAGGCAAAGCCACAGCCAAAGCAAGTGCAGTCGGAGAAGCCGCCCAAGGATTATGATCTGGCCGAGCTGGTCAAGCCAAATCGGGTCATTAAAAGCAAAATAGCTTGTGCTGCCGAAGCACTAGGAGGCACACTGAAAACCAGAAATCCCGTTGCCAGCGCCCAAAAGGAGCAGCTGCAGCAGATGATGCAAGGGGTGTCCACAGCGCAGGCGGAGCTGCGTCTGCCGCAGAGTAACAAGAGTGGCAACAACAACAAGCTCTTAATACAGGAAATACTATGATATAAGAATAAACATATGATATTTATTTAATTCAATGTAATAAATGCTGTATATAACGTCCCACAATATAAAACGGGCGCTGCTCAAATGTTTCCTTTTCGTGCATTGTAATGGACACCTGTGAAAAAATTATGCGCAGAAACAAATTAAAGGAGAGCTGAACTTTATATAACCATATGTTTTGGAAGGACTCTGACCTGATCGCCGTTCAAGCGATTAATGAGCGTTACACAAACATCAGCAGCCCTGACCCCAACCTTTTGAGTCAGCGAGGCGAACATGGTGGCCTCCATTTCGATGTTGCATATGCCCTTCTTTTGGCATTCCTTCAGGAAATCCATCTTTTCATCGTCGCTGTATTCACACACAGCGCCATCAGTGCGTCCTTGACCTGCATAGATAAAATAAAGTTGCATATTTGTCGTCATTTCATGTGGTCAGCACTTACCCTCATAGAAACAATCGGTGGACATTGTGTTGGCAATTATGGTGTTGAAGCCATCGTCAGATTTGGCGCCATATTTTAGGATCTCCTGGCAAAGTGTGTCTGGGAAACTGGCGGGTCGCACCACACGCTTTCCCAGAATGGCCTAGCCAGACGCCAGAAATAAAACAAGAAATCATTAAGAGTGAGCAGGTACTCCGTAACTTGCACACTTACAATCTCATGTTCGTTTTTTAAGTAACCATTATACGCATCCTTGGTGATTACAACGGTGCCCGGCTCAACGCCCACGCCGCCACATGTGCCAATGCGTATGAATACGGGATCCTGACACTTGGCATACTTGACCAGCTTCAGCAGCTCGTGCAGCACCACCGAGAACGTTGAGGAGCCGACACCATGGCTGACGCATAAGACGGGGCCCACCTTGTAGACAGCATAGCGTTGTCCACTTTCGCATAGATCAACAGGTTCGCTGTCGTCCTTTATGCCCAATATGGGACGCAAATAAATAGCCAACTCCCGCATACGCTTCGAAGTGCCACCCGCGCATACGGCCTAAGCAGGGGAAGGATTATAAATATTTCAGCAATCAAATTTATTCGAAGATCTCACGCACGACTATATCGCCGAATCGCTTTTGAATATCGCTAGTATCCTCTGTATTGGGCACATTGATGTTCAGATGGTATAGAAAATCAGAGGGCATCTTATTGAGATTGGGATTTTTCAGATTTACGCTGTGGGTAAAATACTTAAAGCTCGTATGCACTTTGCCATGTAACGCAATGTCCACTTACCCTCTTAACATTGTGTGTTAGTACTAGATAACGCTATAAATAATTTCAAGATAATAATGTCATATTATTTCATTGGTAAATAAAATGGGTAGACGATAGCTTATAAGCTTAAAGCTTATAAATAATGTTATTATCTAACTTGTATAAGTGGCCTGTAAAATCTTCAACCTACATTTGACATAACAGAATGGATTTTCCGTAAAGTTTGATTGGATGAAAATAAAAAAGGCTTTAATGAACCTCATTTTTCGACCGATTCTTTCTATAGAGCTACATTAAATAGTAGTTATATCTTGATGTGACTTAGCTCATATAAAAACAGCTTAGTTAATGCCGAGTTTGGTCTAGATATATTGAAAAACAAAAAGCACTTTCGTATGCCAGCTATTATGATATATAGTTGTCCCATCCGGGCTGTTCGATATATGTACTGCCCGCAGAAAGACGGACAAGTGCAAAGTTCCAAGACGATAGCTTTAAAACTGAGAGAAGGAGACTGATATATATTATATTATATTTTATCTTTATATTAATTTAACTTAAGTTCAATTGCTATCTCGACATTAACTTCATAATAAGGTTCTAAATATATTTTTATTGTTCTCCGATACAAGAGCAGTCCCTGTATAGCGTTATCGCCCGACTTTTTGCTGCGTCGCGGAATCGCAACAGAGACCCCTTATCTTATTATACTCATTTTTCTGTGTAAATATACGTATGCATATATGCTTTGCTGTATGACTCGTTGCATTGGCTGAAGAAGAAGAGAAGTGCAAAAATGCACGTATTTTATGGCAATTCTGAAGAATTTCAATATTTGCTATCAACTTAACAGCCAGACGAACGACCCAACTGCAATAAAAAAACAAGAGGTTCTAGTCGGGAGCTCCCGACTAGGGGATACCCTGAACCCTCTTCTTTCAACATCAAATGCATATATATATTCTATTTTAGACGCTGTGTCAAGTTTGGTGACTCTAGCTCTTATTATTTACCAAAATTGCGCAAAAAACAGGATATCGATATCGATTCTTATCGATTGCTTGGAAACGGAGTAGGTTATCGATTATCGGAAACAAACTCGATCTGCGCGGCAACTAGGATTATCTACATCTAAAAGTATCTAGCTCTTATAGGTTCTGAGATCCTTGCATTCATACATACGGACGGACGGACAGACAGACGGACATGGCTAGATCGACTCGGCTATTGGTGCTGATCAAGAATATATATACTTTATGGGGTCGGAGATGCTTCCTTCTGCCTGTTACATATATTTGGATTTTGCACAAATACAATATACCCTTATACCCATTTTTAATGGGTTCAGGGTATAATAAAACTTATTAAAATGTCACAATGTCAACGAATGCATTACAATACAATTGCAATGCTATTTATAGAATTCAAATTGACGCGCATGAATATGTGTGTGAACATGCATTCAGCATGTGGAATGCAAATGCACACTTCTTTGTTTTTTGTCCGAACTTGATGTAATTGTACTAGAATGTTTATACAGTCTCAAAAAGACAATAGCATTAAAGTTTTGTCTTAAGTTGGTAGACAGTTCTAATTGATTTATTTATTTGAAATGTATTGAAGGATAGTTATATGACAAATTTGTTGCCTAGGTTTTTTAGACATAGCTGAATCGACTCGATCTATAATATTTGTATATATATTTGTATACTTCGAGGGTCGGGGATGCTTCCTACTGCGTGTTATTTACATTTGCACAAAGACAATTTACCCCCTTTGTCCATTTTCGATAGGTTCTGGTTATTATTCAATTCAATTCAGTTGCGTTGCCATGGGCTTCATAATGTACCTAATATATGATCGAAATCTTATCACTTTCGGACCACTTTATTTTGGAAAGCTCTTTCAAGAACCGTCCATGTGAAAGGCTGGGACGTAAACAAAACAACAAAACAACATATATGGCAGATATGCAATGGTATTTAATAGTCAGCAATCCATTCGTTCTTGCTTTGCAGTAAAGCAAATAAATATCTAAAACTACCTCGCTAAAGGGCAAAAAATGAGCGGCAAGAAATCAATAACAATATTTGTCACGAACTTACACATACATACATCTTATCTACAAAACTTTATATACACGCTTTTATATTTATATTTATATTTATATATTTAGACAAGAAAGATAGATCTATTCGAAAGTCTCCGGCTACTATTTTGGGATATAATTCGGTGCCTATTATCCGATCTTTATGAAATTGTTAAGAGATAAATCTAAATATATGTAAATACCAAACATCACGGTCGCAGTTTTACAAATAAGTTTATTAAAATGTTGAAGGGAACGGCTAAGGTATTCAAAAAGTGAACTATTCGAAATATGTGTAAATTAGACATGACTTGGTGTTACAAGCTCTTGACTTGATCTGCGCGGGCTCACACATTCAACTAGATTGGCTCGGTTGTCACAACTATATAACCTGTTCTACACACTTTCAATACGTTCTATTTATAAAACTACACTTACATTTTGCTGAAGTTTTCACGCTGTGATCGCTACGACGTCGCTTTAAATACTGCAGTATACAATTCGCATTGATCGGCTGGAGGTCTCGCTTTTTTCTCTCTCTCTCGCTCTCTCTCTCGCTCTCGCGCTCTCTCTCTCTCCCTCTCACTCTATCTCTCGCATACAGTGATGCTGCGAAGTGCAATTGTAACTAAGACTTCGCTCATATACTTGAAACTGGTTGTCATAAGAAAAAAAACATTTTACTGAAAAATAAATAAATAAAGGAGTACATTCTTATACAGTTAGTGTTGACAACTAGTTCTGATCGCCACTGCAATCACATGTGTAAGAACTGTCTTCAGCCGGGGGCTCTCCGTACATTGCCTTCCGTATGTAGCGAGCGATTAGTATTTGAGGTCTTGTGTCGTAATCTTTGAGTCTCGCTGGTGGTGAGTCTATCTGCAAAAAGCCAAGAGGTCGATGATCAGTGTCCGCGACTGGGCATAGATTAGACAAACCTGGTCGCCCTCCATGCGATTGAGTAGGGTCACACAGACGACAGCGGCACGAATATTGGCCTGATTTGTGAGGCTTGCGAATGTGGTGCTCTCCATTTCGATATTGACAACTCCACTCTGAGACAATTTCTCCAGGAATGCCATCTTTTTCTCTGGCGTGTACTCGCAAAAGGCACCGTCCAGACGTGATTGTCCCTCATAGAAATCATTTGTACAGAGCGTTTTGCCCAAGACAGTGTCATAGCCATCTCCACAGGGATTAGATAGTGATCTAAGCGTCTTGGCCAAGTCCTGGTCCAGTGTGGTGGGCCGTAGCTGGGGTTGAGTTTGAACGACCACCTCATGCACGGGTCGCAATTGGCCATCCAGAGCCTCTGAAGTAATCACCACGGTGCCAGGCTCAACAGTAATGCCACCACTGGTGCCCATGCGAAAAAAGACAGGATCCTGACACTTGGCATGGAACAGGAGCTTGATGAGCTCGTGCAATACTATGCTGATTGAGGGGCCGCCAATGCCATGACTGGCGCACAGCACTGGCCCAACTTTGTACAAGGCGTATCGATGGCCTTCCGCGGAAATGTTTTTTAGCTGAACGCTTTGGCTCATCTTGAGTCCAATCTCTTTCATGATGAAATTGGCGAATTTCTCCATGCGCGATTCCGTGCCGCCCAAGCATACGAACTGTGGCCATGACAGTTGATAAATAAGCAAGAAAGGTTGCTCTAGTCGATAATGTCCGACTAGGATGTTTCCAAAAACTGAATAATATACGTACTAAAATGAGTAACGCCGAACAATAATATGCCTTAGCATTAATAAAAAATAAATTTAAAAAAAACAATAAATGAATTTCTCCCTTTCCACGATAGCTAAAAAATAAAAGTACTTGATGTGAACATACAAATTTGGTGACTTGCCCTGAATATTTGAAATTCGCTCAAAAATAGAATTTCAATTTTTATCGATTGATTGGAAACAGGGCAAGCTATCGGAAATAACCATGTACTACGCGGACGATAGGGGTCGGCGGTGCTTCTCTTTTTACAGTTGAATGAAATATTTGAGATCCCTTTGAAGCCTCTATCTATTAGTGAAAAAATAGCCATAGAAACGACCGATTTACAATATATGTATGTGTGCATACAAAGTAGATGCCGATTTTTTAACGTCACTCTCCAAAAACGCGCTCCTTCCATTCAGTTTTGAGAATCGACGAAGTTTTACAAAAATGTATCGATGTTTTACTTTGTTTTGTTTTGTTGAAGCATCGATACTTAGCGTTTGTTATGTGTCTACATTAACTACTACGGCAACGCCGGCCAGCCAGTACTCTCTTTAGGGATGGGCATTTCCTGCCCACCGTCACGAACAATCGCACAACACTAAACTAAATCTGCACATCACTAAGCAGTTGACTCAAAAACGTAAACAAAGGCTAGTGACAAAACAATGCAAAAATAAAGCTAACAAAATTTCGGCGGGTTCCTTGTTGTTGCCGTTGCACATAAACCTATCCTGTGGTAATGATCAATTTATTTTCTATCAGCAAACATAAATTCCATATTCCAGATGACTTCTATTCGAACGGCAGCATTCCCCTTCCTAACGTTAACGAATTTTTTGCCGGACATTTTCTTTTTCACTATGTGCGTATAATTGTGCGCATTTATCAAATATTATTATTAGCAAATATTATTTCTTAAACTAAATTACAGGAACAAAAGACAGACGACAAGACTTTTGCCTGTTGCCGCTGGAAACAATAATCGATTATAATTTTTTACTGAGTGAATATAATTCTCGAATTGGAAATTATGTGAGGCATATAAGTTTGAAAGATTGCTACCTTACTCTATCTAAAGAGCTCTCCGGCAGCCCAAAATGTAAGCCACAACAATATGCATCAATGTTTTATTCTAATGCATCGATATTGAGCTTTGATGTTCACCGGTAAATCGATGTACATTTCTATTTCATCTATTTCATCATCAACAATGATGCAAAAGCCAATTCAGCAATTGGCAACCCTACCAAGAAGCGTTACTTAACTCAACTTACGCGCACATCTCCGAAAACCTTTGGAAAATCAGTTGTTACTGTATCCAAGTTAAGATGGTATAAAATATCCGGATTAAGGCATTCGACGTAGGGGTTTATGTTGCCTAAAGTGGACTCCAATTCTTGCGGTTCTTCGGGGTTGCAACCGTCCTTGATGTGCTTTATGAGTTCATCAATGCGTTTATTTTGTGATTTAACCATGGCTGCATAGTTGAGTTATAGGAATGACACACAAGACTAATATTTGCTCACCTTTCAGTTCGCAGACATCTTTTTCAATATCTTTACTACATTTGGTCGTCATTCTTTCAAGCTTTTAAGTGAATTTGATTTTAGTCCGAAAAAGAATTTTGAATAGCTGAAATATATTTAGAATTTAGAAAAGTTTTGTATTTGAGTAAATTCTCACATCAAGAAGTTAAGGATACATATTTCATAGATCTTGACAAAGTTTAAACTCTTAGAAAAGTCTGATTAATTTTTTAAGAGTACCAAATGAAAACAAAGATCGAGAAATAAAAACAAAAATAAAAGTTTCCTTTTGTTGTTTCCCTCAACTGTGAAACATCACTCAAATTAATTTGGCCATAGATATTTGAAAATGATTATGTGGGCTTTGGATGGTGAGCCAAAAATATCCATACAATTCTTTTTGGCGATTTTCTACACTTGAGGGTTGGAATTTATCAAGCTACAGTCAAAATTTCAGCTTCCCAGCTCTTAGGTTTGAGCTGAGCGTTGATGGCCAGTCTGTCAGGACAAAAAGTTTTATATAGATAATATACTTTATACGAACTTCAGCATTAATCTCAAAGGCATTAAGGCAAGTGTGGCACGCGTCACTGTGCCTCGTTTCGTACAACCAGAGCCAGAAGCTTGAAAAGGCTGCAAAAGATTGAATGACTGCTGCAGGCAAAGGCACTACTCATCAAAATGATGGACCCACACCGGCTAAGCCTGAGGCACAGCATCAGCACAACAGCTTCATCGAAAAAGAATGGTTCAAGCTAAGGCAGCCCGTAAGGTAGCCGGCATCCCATGGTGCGGCACAAGCGATGCCATCGAAGCAGGTCTGCGCCTAACAAAGTTCGGAGATCATCTCGATTTCTTCAGCAGCCGCCCTGACTGACCCTACTACAGAGCGGCGCTCCCTAAAGATATACCTGCGATATACTAACTAGGGCAATCGATTGAATCCCTTACATTATTAGGCTATGTCCACAAGAGTTTCATTGTAAATATCCCATCAGTGTACATACAACTATGCCCTTGCTTCATAGTCCTGCGCTTGATCAAATCCTCCTGATCAAATCCAGCGCACAATATGACAAAGAGATTACGCAGACGACAAAGCAAACAATCTTTAAGTTTTGAAATACATTTTGCTTTTAATATACCAATTAGTTTCATAAAATGTTTGTGATTTCATTTAAACCGATTTTATATTTGCTTCAGCTGAATTTTTACGTGTACAACTTGATTTTTTATTTATTTTTTTTTTTTTTGAATTGAATAAGAGCAACTTTTGTTAATATAGCGTATGATTAGCAACATGCGAATATGCGAATGCGCATAACAATTGTTTTTGGAATTACAGCACAATATGTGTAATAGAATAATTTACGAAATTTTATATTACGATTTGAAATACATATATTAATATTTGGTTTGCCTCATTTGGAATATGCAACATAACAATTAACAATTTTTTTTTTATATTTTTGCATTTTCTTTATTACCATAGTTGCAATTAGCGATGCGATTAACAACAATTTGATTTAGTTTATATTGAAACACAACGTCACATTGAGTTTATTATTAATATTAATATGTTAATATTTAGTTTGGATAAGTTCATTCAGCTTTTAGCGTTTATACGCCAATACCTGCAGTATGCTTGTCATTAAATAAGCTAATGAGGAAGTGGTTATACGTATAGTACATAGATACACATATGGGGAAATAAAATAAGAACCTAAAGTGAATTAAACTATGGAGTGTTTAAAGGAATATTTGTATACATGAGAGTTGGTTTGACATATGAGTCAAAAGGTAACTTGAAATCATATATCCGATGTATATGCAATGATCTTTTGTATTTGGCTGCTAGCTCTAGTCATGGGCCTGTGATTCCTGCTGTACCAGCTTGAAGCGCCTCGGTGACTTTATGGATCCATGCTGTCCAAAGAGCGACTTCAGTTGGCCATGCTGGGCGAGCACCTTGCGTATATACCTGGAGACGAGTATCTGTGGACGCTGCTGCCACTCATTTATAACCTCTTTGGGCGCATTGACCTGGTCCCCATTTAGGCGATTCAGGAGCACAACGCAAACAACGGCTGCTTTGATGCCCGCATGATGTGTTAGCGCTGCGAAGATGGTGCTCTCCATTTCGATGTTGACGACGCCGTTGTCGCGCAGCTTCTCCAGATAGTTCATCTTATCGGTTTCGGTAAACTCACAGAAGGCGCCATCCAGACGTCCTTGACCCTCATAGAAGTCATTTGTGCACAGCGTCTTGCCAATGATGGTGTCGTAGGGATCATCAGCACTGGCCAGCGATTTCAGTTCACGTGCCAGCTTCTTATCCAGCTTAGCCGGACGATGCACAGTCTCGCCCAGAATTGTCTATAGAGAATTGACAATTATCATAAATAAATCAGAAGTAAGCCCAGACAACATGCACTTACAAACTCATGAGAGTTGCGCAAATGCCCATCCAACGCATCTTCAGTGATGATGACGGTGCCGCCGTCGACGCCAATGCCGCCACAGGTGCCGATGCGTATGAATATGGGATCAATGCATTTGGCATGGTACATCAGCTTGATAACCTCGTGCATCAGTATGCTAATCGAGGGGGTGCCCATGCCGTGACTGACGCATAGCACCGGACCGACTTTGTACATGGAATAGCGGTACGAGAACTCGCTAATATCCTGCAGCTGTGTTCCAGCGGGAAGCTTATAGCCGATCTCATCCATAATGAAGTGTGCGAAGTTCTCCATGCGCTTTGGTGTGCCGCCCATGCAAACGAACTGGTTGTGAACGCATTGAAAGAGCAGAATATGAAATACCGTTTAAAAAATTTAAATAATAATTCGAAAAAATTAAAAATATTAACTTGATTTTCATTATCAAGGGCAATTAACATGTCTTATAAAGTGAATCGATAATGGATATTAAGTTAAGACTGGAAACGGCAAACTTGTTTTTTTTTTCGAACTCTCACTTGCGTAATCTGATCGGGTTTAGTTGTATACCACTAATTAGCGTGTTTAGAATGCAAAGTATTCTTAACCCAAAGTATTTATGATAATGGTGACTATGAGCCATTCTCCTCAATCAAATGTCAGTTAACCTTGACATAACTTTGAACAAAGCATATATGTACATATAAAATACTAATTTATTATTGGAAGTCTTAAGAAGAAATCGTTAAAAGATCAAAGCTTGTTCAACACTCACCTTAACATCGCCAAACATTTCCCTCAGATCATGGCTCTCGCTACCGAGCGCTACGTGATATAAGATATCCTGATCCATAAGTTCAATATTGGGGTTGCGTAATTTAACTGTGCCATCGGCGTATCTGCAAGCAATAAGCGCAATGTCAACTACTGTATAATAATTTATATATACATATTTGTTTTTAATAGAAGGTGAATTCATCAATAATACAAATAATCTTAATATAAAATATTTCACTATGCACAATCAAAAGTAATCAGTTATTAATAAAGTGCATTCGTAAACATGTTTAGACGGAAATTATAGTAAGCGTCAGTTGATTTCCCGATAAGATTGTTATTTCCGAGAATTGTGAATTCCAAGAATTGGAACCATCGCATAAAGCTAATATACCCTTTAACAAATTATTAGGGTGAACTATATTTACAATATATTTTTCTGAACATTAGAGAATTTCAGAGCACATAATGGCAACCAAATGTAAAGACCAAACTATACTATTTGAATGAGTGTATCCCAAAAAAAGAATAAAGTTCTGTATATCAAATATGGTTAAAAAACAAACAGGATGTCGATATTCGATCCTTATGTTTAGTTGACAATTTTGATAACAGAGACGATGTTTAGCTCCACAATAATAGAAGAGTTTCGAACCAACGACCTTTGGCATACACAATATAAATTCCATATGTCTAGATCGGTATAATAAAACACTTAAATAAAACAACTTTAAGCGAAACCTGAAAAGCTCTGTCGGTCACACAAGATGATGAGAAATAATATAATTATCCTTTAAACTGTAGAGAAGCCCGCTTCTGTCTGTTACATAAATTTGCACAAGTTTAATTCACCGTTTTTTGTTACCTATTTTAAATGAGTATCTAAAAAAAAAACAAAAAAATAGAACCGTTTTTCGACCATCTGGATGTTAATTTCCAATAGGACACAAATTTAAGTTGCCAAAAGAGAGTACCATATGAGTTCATCACCAAACATTCCATTTTATTTGCACATATATGATGGATGGGTGCATGAATGTAAGTTGATACGAAGCCAACTTTTATGTATGCGTACAAGCCCGCCAAAGCACAGCCCCAAAATTGTACGCGTCATTTGATTAGCCTTATCAACCACCTAACAAAATATTTGAGTAGCTAAAAAGAGCTGAATATATAGATTTTAATATGTTGGGGTGTTTGTATATGTACGTTTTATGTAAATATGTATTAACCTTGATAGCAAAATTTTAAAAATGATTAGATTTCTGTGAAACATCTGATCCATAAATTAGCTAGGTTCATAGATCCAGAGGTGTCAAGTTTATCAACAAATTTTGCCGAATCATTCAACAAATGAAATTTGAGCGCTTAATAACTGTCAAAACACAAAAACAGCAGGGGATCTAGAGGTCTGTGTTCAGTTCTAGGTGTAGGTCTAGGTCTTGATATCGAAACGACACACCCACTTCAATAAATGTTTGCAGGTGTGTGGGTGTTTGTTCAAGTGCTTCTGCAATCTATTTACCTCATTTCGTACACCTTATCAGAACCGTGTCGAGCTACTTCAAGGTGGCGGCAGTCTTTTTCCGGCCAAATCACTTAATCAGTCCCCTTATGTTCCGGCAGGTGCCTGAGCACTTTGGTCACCGCTCTATAATAGGAAGCCAAATCAAATTCCAGAAACGATTGGTGAATCTACAGAGTCTCAGACCCCAAAGGAAATTCGCTGAACACTTTAGACAGTCGACATATTGGGCAGTCGGAGAAGCCGCCCAAGGATTATGATCTGGCCGAGCTGGTCAAGCCAAATCGGGTCATTAAAAGCAAAATAGCTTGTGCTGCCGAAGCACTAGGAGGCACACTGAAAACCAGAAATCCCGTTGCCAGCGCCCAAAAGGAGCAGCTGCAGCAGATGATGCAAGGGGTGTCCACAGCGCAGGCGGAGCTGCGTCTGCCGCAGAGTAACAAGAGTGGCAACAACAACAAGCTCTTAATACAGGAAATACTATGATATAAGAATAATATTTATTGATATATATGATATTTATTGAATTCAATGTAATAAATGCTGTATATAACGTCCCACAATATAAAACGGGCGCTGCTCAAATGTTTCCTTTTCGTGCATTGTAATGGACACCTGTGAAAAAATTATGCGCAGAAACAAATTAAAGGAGAGCTGAACTTTATATAACCATATGTTTTGGAAGGACTCTGACCTGATCGCCGTTCAAGCGATTAATGAGCGTTACACAAACATCAGCAGCCCTGACCCCAACCTTTTGAGTCAGCGAGGCGAACATGGTGGCCTCCATTTCGATGTTGCATATGCCCTTCTTTTGGCATTCCTTCAGGAAATCCATCTTTTCATCGTCGCTGTATTCACACACAGCGCCATCAGTGCGTCCTTGACCTGCATAGATAAAATAAAGTTGCATATTTGTCGTCATTTCATGTGGTCAGCACTTACCCTCATAGAAACAATCGGTGGACATTGTGTTGGCAATTATGGTGTTGAAGCCATCGTCAGATTTGGCGCCATATTTTAGGATCTCCTGGCAAAGTGTGTCTGGGAAACTGGCGGGTCGCACCACACGCTTTCCCAGAATGGCCTAGCCAGACGCCAGAAATAAAACAAGAAATCATTAAGAGTGAGCAGGTACTCCGTAACTTGCACACTTACAATCTCATGTTCGTTTTTTAAGTAACCATTATACGCATCCTTGGTGATTACAACGGTGCCCGGCTCAACGCCCACGCCGCCACATGTGCCAATGCGTATGAATACGGGATCCTGACACTTGGCATACTTGACCAGCTTCAGCAGCTCGTGCAGCACCACCGAGAACGTTGAGGAGCCGACACCATGGCTGACGCATAAGACGGGGCCCACCTTGTAGACAGCATAGCGTTGTCCACTTTCGCATAGATCAACAGGTTCGCTGTCGTCCTTTATGCCCAATATGGGACGCAAATAAATAGCCAACTCCCGCATACGCTTCGAAGTGCCACCCGCGCATACGGCCTAAGCAGGGGAAGGATTATAAATATTTCAGCAATCAAATTTATTCGAAGATCTCACGCACGACTATATCGCCGAATCGCTTTTGAATATCGCTAGTATCCTCTGTATTGGGCACATTGATGTTCAGATGGTATAGAAAATCAGAGGGCATCTTATTGAGATTGGGATTTTTCAGATTTACGCTGTGGGTAAAATACTTAAAGCTCGTATGCACTTTGCCATGTAACGCAATGTCCACTTACCCTCTTAACATTGTGTGTTAGTACTAGATAACGCTATAAATAATTTCAAGATAATAATGTCATATTATTTCATTGGTAAATAAAATGGGTAGACGATAGCTTATAAGCTTAAAGCTTATAAATAATGTTATTATCTAACTTGTATAAGTGGCCTGTAAAATCTTCAACCTACATTTGACATAACAGAATGGATTTTCCGTAAAGTTTGATTGGATGAAAATAAAAAAGGCTTTAATGAACCTCATTTTTCGACCGATTCTTTCTATAGAGCTACATTAAATAGTAGTTATATCTTGATGTGACTTAGCTCATATAAAAACAGCTTAGTTAATGCCGAGTTTGGTCTAGATATATTGAAAAACAAAAAGCACTTTCGTATGCCAGCTATTATGATATATAGTTGTCCCATCCGGGCTGTTCGATATATGTACTGCCCGCAGAAAGACGGACAAGTGCAAAGTTCCAAGACGATAGCTTTAAAACTGAGAGAAGGAGACTGATATATATTATATTATATTTTATCTTTATATTAATTTAACTTAAGTTCAATTGCTATCTCGACATTAACTTCATAATAAGGTTCTAAATATATTTTTATTGTTCTCCGATACAAGAGCAGTCCCTGTATAGCGTTATCGCCCGACTTTTTGCTGCGTCGCGGAATCGCAACAGAGACCCCTTATCTTATTATACTCATTTTTCTGTGTAAATATACGTATGCATATATGCTTTGCTGTATGACTCGTTGCATTGGCTGAAGAAGAAGAGAAGTGCAAAAATGCACGTATTTTATGGCAATTCTGAAGAATTTCAATATTTGCTATCAACTTAACAGCCAGACGAACGACCCAACTGCAATAAAAAAACAAGAGGTTCTAGTCGGGAGCTCCCGACTAGGGGATACCCTGAACCCTCTTCTTTCAACATCAAATGCATATATATATTCTATTTTAGACGCTGTGTCAAGTTTGGTGACTCTAGCTCTTATTATTTACCAAAATTGCGCAAAAAACAGGATATCGATATCGATTCTTATCGATTGCTTGGAAACGGAGTAGGTTATCGATTATCGGAAACAAACTCGATCTGCGCGGCAACTAGGATTATCTACATCTAAAAGTATCTAGCTCTTATAGGTTCTGAGATCCTTGCATTCATACATACGGACGGACGGACAGACAGACGGACATGGCTAGATCGACTCGGCTATTGGTGCTGATCAAGAATATATATACTTTATGGGGTCGGAGATGCTTCCTTCTGCCTGTTACATATATTTGGATTTTGCACAAATACAATATACCCTTATACCCATTTTTAATGGGTTCAGGGTATAATAAAACTTATTAAAATGTCACAATGTCAACGAATGCATTACAATACAATTGCAATGCTATTTATAGAATTCAAATTGACGCGCATGAATATGTGTGTGAACATGCATTCAGCATGTGGAATGCAAATGCACACTTCTTTGTTTTTTGTCCGAACTTGATGTAATTGTACTAGAATGTTTATACAGTCTCAAAAAGACAATAGCATTAAAGTTTTGTCTTAAGTTGGTAGACAGTTCTAATTGATTTATTTATTTGAAATGTATTGAAGGATAGTTATATGACAAATTTGTTGCCTAGGTTTTTTAGACATAGCTGAATCGACTCGATCTATAATATTTGTATATATATTTGTATACTTCGAGGGTCGGGGATGCTTCCTACTGCGTGTTATTTACATTTGCACAAAGACAATTTACCCCCTTTGTCCATTTTCGATAGGTTCTGGTTATTATTCAATTCAATTCAGTTGCGTTGCCATGGGCTTCATAATGTACCTAATATATGATCGAAATCTTATCACTTTCGGACCACTTTATTTTGGAAAGCTCTTTCAAGAACCGTCCATGTGAAAGGCTGGGACGTAAACAAAACAACAAAACAACATATATGGCAGATATGCAATGGTATTTAATAGTCAGCAATCCATTCGTTCTTGCTTTGCAGTAAAGCAAATAAATATCTAAAACTACCTCGCTAAAGGGCAAAAAATGAGCGGCAAGAAATCAATAACAATATTTGTCACGAACTTACACATACATACATCTTATCTACAAAACTTTATATACACGCTTTTATATTTATATTTATATTTATATATTTAGACAAGAAAGATAGATCTATTCGAAAGTCTCCGGCTACTATTTTGGGATATAATTCGGTGCCTATTATCCGATCTTTATGAAATTGTTAAGAGATAAATCTAAATATATGTAAATACCAAACATCACGGTCGCAGTTTTACAAATAAGTTTATTAAAATGTTGAAGGGAACGGCTAAGGTATTCAAAAAGTGAACTATTCGAAATATGTGTAAATTAGACATGACTTGGTGTTACAAGCTCTTGACTTGATCTGCGCGGGCTCACACATTCAACTAGATTGGCTCGGTTGTCACAACTATATAACCTGTTCTACACACTTTCAATACGTTCTATTTATAAAACTACACTTACATTTTGCTGAAGTTTTCACGCTGTGATCGCTACGACGTCGCTTTAAATACTGCAGTATACAATTCGCATTGATCGGCTGGAGGTCTCGCTTTTTTCTCTCTCTCTCGCTCTCTCTCTCGCTCTCGCGCTCTCTCTCTCTCCCTCTCACTCTATCTCTCGCATACAGTGATGCTGCGAAGTGCAATTGTAACTAAGACTTCGCTCATATACTTGAAACTGGTTGTCATAAGAAAAAAAACATTTTACTGAAAAATAAATAAATAAAGGAGTACATTCTTATACAGTTAGTGTTGACAACTAGTTCTGATCGCCACTGCAATCACATGTGTAAGAACTGTCTTCAGCCGGGGGCTCTCCGTACATTGCCTTCCGTATGTAGCGAGCGATTAGTATTTGAGGTCTTGTGTCGTAATCTTTGAGTCTCGCTGGTGGTGAGTCTATCTGCAAAAAGCCAAGAGGTCGATGATCAGTGTCCGCGACTGGGCATAGATTAGACAAACCTGGTCGCCCTCCATGCGATTGAGTAGGGTCACACAGACGACAGCGGCACGAATATTGGCCTGATTTGTGAGGCTTGCGAATGTGGTGCTCTCCATTTCGATATTGACAACTCCACTCTGAGACAATTTCTCCAGGAATGCCATCTTTTTCTCTGGCGTGTACTCGCAAAAGGCACCGTCCAGACGTGATTGTCCCTCATAGAAATCATTTGTACAGAGCGTTTTGCCCAAGACAGTGTCATAGCCATCTCCACAGGGATTAGATAGTGATCTAAGCGTCTTGGCCAAGTCCTGGTCCAGTGTGGTGGGCCGTAGCTGGGGTTGAGTTTGAACGACCACCTCATGCACGGGTCGCAATTGGCCATCCAGAGCCTCTGAAGTAATCACCACGGTGCCAGGCTCAACAGTAATGCCACCACTGGTGCCCATGCGAAAAAAGACAGGATCCTGACACTTGGCATGGAACAGGAGCTTGATGAGCTCGTGCAATACTATGCTGATTGAGGGGCCGCCAATGCCATGACTGGCGCACAGCACTGGCCCAACTTTGTACAAGGCGTATCGATGGCCTTCCGCGGAAATGTTTTTTAGCTGAACGCTTTGGCTCATCTTGAGTCCAATCTCTTTCATGATGAAATTGGCGAATTTCTCCATGCGCGATTCCGTGCCGCCCAAGCATACGAACTGTGGCCATGACAGTTGATAAATAAGCAAGAAAGGTTGCTCTAGTCGATAATGTCCGACTAGGATGTTTCCAAAAACTGAATAATATACGTACTAAAATGAGTAACGCCGAACAATAATATGCCTTAGCATTAATAAAAAATAAATTTAAAAAAAACAATAAATGAATTTCTCCCTTTCCACGATAGCTAAAAAATAAAAGTACTTGATGTGAACATACAAATTTGGTGACTTGCCCTGAATATTTGAAATTCGCTCAAAAATAGAATTTCAATTTTTATCGATTGATTGGAAACAGGGCAAGCTATCGGAAATAACCATGTACTACGCGGACGATAGGGGTCGGCGGTGCTTCTCTTTTTACAGTTGAATGAAATATTTGAGATCCCTTTGAAGCCTCTATCTATTAGTGAAAAAATAGCCATAGAAACGACCGATTTACAATATATGTATGTGTGCATACAAAGTAGATGCCGATTTTTTAACGTCACTCTCCAAAAACGCGCTCCTTCCATTCAGTTTTGAGAATCGACGAAGTTTTACAAAAATGTATTGATGTTTTACTTTGTTTTGTTTTGTTGAAGCATCGATACTTAGCGTTTGTTATGTGTCTACATTAACTACTACGGCAACGCCGGCCAGCCAGTACTCTCTTTAGGGATGGGCATTTCCTGCCCACCGTCACGAACAATCGCACAACACTAAACTAAATCTGCACATCACTAAGCAGTTGACTCAAAAACGTAAACAAAGGCTAGTGACAAAACAATGCAAAAATAAAGCTAACAAAATTTCGGCGGGTTCCTTGTTGTTGCCGTTGCACATAAACCTATCCTGTGGTAATGATCAATTTATTTTCTATCAGCAAACATAAATTCCATATTCCAGATGACTTCTATTCGAACGGCAGCATTCCCCTTCCTAACGTTAACGAATTTTTTGCCGGACATTTTCTTTTTCACTATGTGCGTATAATTGTGCGCATTTATCAAATATTATTATTAGCAAATATTATTTCTTAAACTAAATTACAGGAACAAAAGACAGACGACAAGACTTTTGCCTGTTGCCGCTGGAAACAATAATCGATTATAATTTTTTACTGAGTGAATATAATTCTCGAATTGGAAATTATGTGAGGCATATAAGTTTGAAAGATTGCTACCTTACTCTATCTAAAGAGCTCTCCGGCAGCCCAAAATGTAAGCCACAACAATATGCATCAATGTTTTATTCTAATGCATCGATATTGAGCTTTGATGTTCACCGGTAAATCGATGTACATTTCTATTTCATCTATTTCATCATCAACAATGATGCAAAAGCCAATTCAGCAATTGGCAACCCTACCAAGAAGCGTTACTTAACTCAACTTACGCGCACATCTCCGAAAACCTTTGGAAAATCAGTTGTTACTGTATCCAAGTTAAGATGGTATAAAATATCCGGATTAAGGCATTCGACGTAGGGGTTTATGTTGCCTAAAGTGGACTCCAATTCTTGCGGTTCTTCGGGATTGCAACCGTCCTTGATGTGCTTTATGAGTTCATCAATGCGTTTATTTTGTGATTTAACCATGGCTGCATAGTTGAGTTATAGGAATGACACACAAGACTAATATTTGCTCACCTTTCAGTTCGCAGACATCTTTTTCAATATCTTTACTACATTTGGTCGTCATTCTTTCAAGCTTTTAAGTGAATTTGATTTTAGTCCGAAAAAGAATTTTGAATAGCTGAAATATATTTAGAATTTAGAAAAGTTTTGTATTTGAGTAAATTCTCACATCAAGAAGTTAAGGATACATATTTCATAGATCTTGACAAAGTTTAAACTCTTAGAAAAGTCTGATTAATTTTTTAAGAGTACCAAATGAAAACAAAGATCGAGAAATAAAAACAAAAATAAAAGTTTCCTTTTGTTGTTTCCCTCAACTGTGAAACATCACTCAAATTAATTTGGCCATAGATATTTGAAAATGATTATGTGGGCCTGTTGGATGGTGAGCCAAAAATATCCATACAATTCTTTTTGGCGATTTTCTACACTTGAGGGTTGGAATTTATCAAGCTACAGTCAAAATTTCAGCTTCCCAGCTCTTAGGTTTGAGCTGAGCGTTGATGGCCAGTCTGTCAGGACAAAAAGTTTTATATAGATAATATACTTTATACGAACTTCAGCATTAATCTCAAAGGCATTAAGGCAAGTGTGGCACGCGTCACTGTGCCTCGTTTCGTACAACCAGAGCCAGAAGCTTGAAAAGGCTGCAAAAGATTGAATGACTGCTGCAGGCAAAGGCACTACTCATCAAAATGATGGACCCACACCGGCTAAGCCTGAGGCACAGCATCAGCACAACAGCTTCATCGAAAAAGAATGGTTCAAGCTAAGGCAGCCCGTAAGGTAGCCGGCATCCCATGGTGCGGCACAAGCGATGCCATCGAAGCAGGTCTGCGCCTAACAAAGTTCGGAGATCATCTCGATTTCTTCAGCAGCCGCCCTGACTGACCCTACTACAGAGCGGCGCTCCCTAAAGATATACCTGCGATATACTAACTAGGGCAATCGATTGAATCCCTTACATTATTAGGCTATGTCCACAAGAGTTTCATTGTAAATATCCCATCAGTGTACATACAACTATGCCCTTGCTTCATAGTCCTGCGCTTGATCAAATCCTCCTGATCAAATCCAGCGCACAATATGACAAAGAGATTACGCAGACGACAAAGCAAACAATCTTTAAGTTTTGAAATACATTTTGCTTTTAATATACCAATTAGTTTCATAAAATGTTTGTGATTTCATTTAAACCGATTTTATATTTGCTTCAGCTGAATTTTTACGTGTACAACTTGATTTTTTATTTATTTTTTTTTTTTTGAATTGAATAAGAGCAACTTTTGTTAATATAGCGTATGATTAGCAACATGCGAATATGCGAATGCGCATAACAATTGTTTTTGGAATTACAGCACAATATGTGTAATAGAATAATTTACGAAATTTTATATTACGATTTGAAATACATATATTAATATTTGGTTTGCCTCATTTGGAATATGCAACATAACAATTAACAATTTTTTTTTTATATTTTTGCATTTTCTTTATTACCATAGTTGCAATTAGCGATGCGATTAACAACAATTTGATTTAGTTTATATTGAAACACAACGTCACATTGAGTTTATTATTAATATTAATATGTTAATATTTAGTTTGGATAAGTTCATTCAGCTTTTAGCGTTTATACGCCAATACCTGCAGTATGCTTGTCATTAAATAAGCTAATGAGGAAGTGGTTATACGTATAGTACATAGATACACATATGGGGAAATAAAATAAGAACCTAAAGTGAATTAAACTATGGAGTGTTTAAAGGAATATTTGTATACATGAGAGTTGGTTTGACATATGAGTCAAAAGGTAACTTGAAATCATATATCCGATGTATATGCAATGATCTTTTGTATTTGGCTGCTAGCTCTAGTCATGGGCCTGTGATTCCTGCTGTACCAGCTTGAAGCGCCTCGGTGACTTTATGGATCCATGCTGTCCAAAGAGCGACTTCAGTTGGCCATGCTGGGCGAGCACCTTGCGTATATACCTGGAGACGAGTATCTGTGGACGCTGCTGCCACTCATTTATAACCTCTTTGGGCGCATTGACCTGGTCCCCATTTAGGCGATTCAGGAGCACAACGCAAACAACGGCTGCTTTGATGCCCGCATGATGTGTTAGCGCTGCGAAGATGGTGCTCTCCATTTCGATGTTGACGACGCCGTTGTCGCGCAGCTTCTCCAGATAGTTCATCTTATCGGTTTCGGTAAACTCACAGAAGGCGCCATCCAGACGTCCTTGACCCTCATAGAAGTCATTTGTGCACAGCGTCTTGCCAATGATGGTGTCGTAGGGATCATCAGCACTGGCCAGCGATTTCAGTTCACGTGCCAGCTTCTTATCCAGCTTAGCCGGACGATGCACAGTCTCGCCCAGAATTGTCTATAGAGAATTGACAATTATCATAAATAAATCAGCAGTAAGCCCAGACAACATGCACTTACAAACTCATGAGAGTTGCGCAAATGCCCATCCAACGCATCTTCAGTGATGATGACGGTGCCGCCGTCGACGCCAATGCCGCCACAGGTGCCGATGCGTATGAATATGGGATCAATGCATTTGGCATGGTACATCAGCTTGATAACCTCGTGCATCAGTATGCTAATCGAGGGGGTGCCCATGCCGTGACTGACGCATAGCACCGGACCGACTTTGTACATGGAATAGCGGTACGAGAACTCGCTAATATCCTGCAGCTGTGTTCCAGCGGGAAGCTTATAGCCGATCTCATCCATAATGAAGTGTGCGAAGTTCTCCATGCGCTTTGGTGTGCCGCCCATGCAAACGAACTGGTTGTGAACGCATTGAAAGAGCAGAATATGAAATACCGTTTAAAAAATTTAAATAATAATTCGAAAAAATTAAAAATATTAACTTGATTTTCATTATCAAGGGCAATTAACATGTCTTATAAAGTGAATCGATAATGGATATTAAGTTAAGACTGGAAACGGCAAACTTGTTTTTTTTTTCGAACTCTCACTTGCGTAATCTGATCGGGTTTAGTTGTATACCACTAATTAGCGTGTTTAGAATGCAAAGTATTCTTAACCCAAAGTATTTATGATAATGGTGACTATGAGCCATTCTCCTCAATCAAATGTCAGTTAACCTTGACATAACTTTGAACAAAGCATATATGTACATATAAAATACTAATTTATTATTAGAAGTCTTAAGAAGAAATCGTTAAAAGATCAAAGCTTGTTCAACACTCACCTTAACATCGCCAAACATTTCCCTCAGATCATGGCTCTCGCTACCGAGCGCTACGTGATATAAGATATCCTGATCCATAAGTTCAATATTGGGGTTGCGTAATTTAACTGTGCCATCGGCGTATCTGCAAGCAATAAGCGCAATGTCAACTACTGTATAATAATTTATATATACATATTTGTTTTTAATAGAAGGTGAATTCATCAATAATACAAATAATCTTAATATAAAATATTTCACTATGCACAATCAAAAGTAATCAGTTATTAATAAAGTGCATTCGTAAACATGTTTAGACGGAAATTATAGTAAGCGTCAGTTGATTTCCCGATAAGATTGTTATTTCCGAGAATTGTGAATTCCAAGAATTGGAACCATCGCATAAAGCTAATATACCCTTTAACAAATTATTAGGGTGAACTATATTTACAATATATTTTTCTGAACATTAGAGAATTTCAGAGCACATAATGGCAACCAAATGTAAAGACCAAACTATACTATTTGAATGAGTGTATCCCAAAAAAAGAATAAAGTTCTGTATATCAAATATGGTTAAAAAACAAACAGGATGTCGATATTCGATCCTTATGTTTAGTTGACAATTTTGATAACAGAGACGATGTTTAGCTCCACAATAATAGAAGAGTTTCGAACCAACGACCTTTGGCATACACAATATAAATTCCATATGTCTAGATCGGTATAATAAAACACTTAAATAAAACAACTTTAAGCGAAACCTGAAAAGCTCTGTCGGTCACACAAGATGATGAGAAATAATATAATTATCCTTTAAACTGTAGAGAAGCCCGCTTCTGTCTGTTACATAAATTTGCACAAGTTTAATTCACCGTTTTTTGTTACCTATTTTCAATGAGTATCTAAAAAAAAAACAAAAAAATAGAACCGTTTTTCGACCATCTGGATGTTAATTTCCAATAGGACACAAATTTAAGTTGCCAAAAGAGAGTACCATATGAGTTCATCACCAAACATTCCATTTTATTTGCACATATATGATGGATGGGTGCATGAATGTAAGTTGATACGAAGCCAACTTTTATGTATGCGTACAAGCCCGCCAAAGCACAGCCCCAAAATTGTACGCGTCATTTGATTAGCCTTATCAACCACCTAACAAAATATTTGAGTAGCTAAAAAGAGCTGAATATATAGATTTTAATATGTTGGGGTGTTTGTATATGTACGTTTTATGTAAATATGTATTAACCTTGATAGCAAAATTTTAAAAATGATTAGATTTCTGTGAAACATCTGATCCATAAATTAGCTAGGTTCATAGATCCAGAGGTGTCAAGTTTATCAACAAATTTTGCCGAATCATTCAACAAATGAAATTTGAGCGCTTAATAACTGTCAAAACACAAAAACAGCAGGGGATCTAGAGGTCTGTGTTCAGTTCTAGGTGTAGGTCTAGGTCTTGATATCGAAACGACACACCCACTTCAATAAATGTTTGCAGGTGTGTGGGTGTTTGTTCAAGTGCTTCTGC